AACCACATCCTTGGGAAGAACATTTCCATAACGTGAAGCCCCCGACAATCGGGGTCTTTTAGGATACGCGCTAGTGGCGCCATTCTGAAACGACGTGCTGGCATTTCGTGTGAATGACGATCGATTGCTTCTTAAAATATCCCTGGCACGGTTTACAACCTGTCCAATTTCAGAGTTTAGCCGTTGGCTAGTTGCACTTGTACTTGTGTTCCGTGGGGAAGCTGTAAATAACAAGTTTACGGCTAAAATAATTCGATTTGAGATCTGCTCTCGTCTGTTCATACATTTAAAGAAAGCATAAGCAAGCTAGGTGGTACACTGAAAAAAAATTAATTTACAACTACCTTCCAGTCTTCCTGTTTCCCCTGCATTTGCAGATCTATTGGTATTCGACTGCATATACTCCTCCAACGCTTGTCTCACCTTGGAACGAATTATTGACCGGTTCAAATCCATTTTCGTGAAGCTGAGTGAAGCTGTGAAAAAGGTGCGACAGAGTGCGACAGTAAAACAGACCGGGCTTCGGCAGGCGAACCATTTTTGGCGCGAATCGGTCCTATGCAACCAGGCCTAACAAGTACCACGTGACATTCTGGGATAAAAATATATTTTTTAAATGAAAATATTTTTACCCTAAGAAAATATTCCATTGAATGGCAATATATTTTATCGAATGAAAACATTATATCAAATGAAAATTATTTTTATTGAATAAAAGCATTTTTTTGTGTCAAATGAAAATATATTTTATCGAATGGAAATATATATTTTATCGAATGAAAATATATTTTTATCGCATAAGAATATTTTTATCGAATGAAAATATATTTTTATCGAATGAAAAAAATTTTTATCGAATGCAAATATATTTTTATCGAATGAAAATAATTTTTATCGAATTTTGCTACATTTCGGCAACCATACCATTGGACACAATTACTCAATACTACACGACTGAACTCATAGGCATCAGGTTTGTGGCTGGAATCAAGGTACCTCCACAAGATTCGAAAGTAAGGACGATCACTCTCCTCAATTTCACTTGCAGATACATCTATTTTATGGCTCATGCTAAGGCGACAGGGTTCCTCCTGACCTAATAGGCACATTAAACAAATCTTTCTGTAATTTAGGACCTACACAAATTGCGTCATTCAACGAAACTCCATCTGTTTTCGCTGAACAGTAAAACACAATGTGTACTTTAGTTGTAGTCTTGTCCATGCGAATTACAGGAAAATGGGGCAGATACCAAACCTCTGGTGGAGATGGCTCCCCCAGCTCAACCTTTCGCAAGTACCCTTTTTCAACATAGCTGTGAATAATCTGCAGGTAATCTGCTCCAAGAGCACAGTCCTTCTTCAGCTTGTTTTTTGTACCGCATAACCGAGTTAACGCAGTGTGACGATTTTCAGGCAGTTGAGGTTTATCTTCCTACCATGGTACACCCACTCTGTAACCTTTTCCAGTGTAACAAATAGATTCCTTAACTTTCTTTAAGTCTTCATTCTCCTCTTTCGTGACAATCAGAGTATCCTGGCCCTCCAAGCCACAGTTCTCCACCTCCCAAAATTTTCTCAAGGCACGATCAATATCACAGCAGACACTGTCAGCGCCGACATCGGGCTTTCTGGTAAACAAAGTGCAACTGACTTGTGTCCTTGCCCCTGTCCACTGCCCTCCCTCTCACTCGGCGCATGAAAAGTTTTCCCTCGCGAATAAAGACCCAGCCGAATGTAAAGCCGATTTCCTAGTGGAAAAGAGGGATATTCCTTTGCTTCTTGACGCATTAAGAGTACCTCCTGTCTTCCAATGCCGCAATGGAACAATTTGCGATGGAGTCCAAGGCCTTGTATAATGCTGAAGAGGTTTGCTTACCCGTGCCGGTATTCCAACATGATTCCTATTTTTGGACGATGCGTGCCAGAACTTAGCATGATTAGTAATGAGGTTGTAGACTGGATGTACACAGCTCATGGATACAAAATAACACAGTCGAATCACGACCTTTTAAATCCAGCTGCACTGAATCAGTATGCTGATGCCATTAGTAATAAAGGAGCAGCACTGAAAATTTGTTTTGGTCTCATAGATGGAACTGTGCGCCCCACTTCTAGACAGGATGCAAACCAGAGAATTGTATACAATGGACATAAACGGGTTCATGCGCTTAAATTTCAGTCTCATGCGCTCCCAAATGGATTAATTGGCCATTTAGATGGTCCTGTTGGTAGGTACATGCTATAACGGGACACCCAATTCAAGTTCTTTGGTGCAATGTTCTAATTTTTAAAACCTTTTTTTTTTTTTTTTTTTTTTGAAAGAAGGAAGGATGCACGATGCACGAATGTTGGCAGTTTCTGATCTGTATGATGATTTGGAAAATTTTTGCTTTCTGTCCAGCTGGAAGAGAAATGTGTTTATATGGGGTCCATCTCCAAGCCGAATTGGGGTTTTAACCAGGCAAATGGAAATTTTAATGAAAAAAAAGAGTGCAGTACGTGCATCTGTAGAGTGGTTATTTGCAGATATCATCAACTATTTCAAATTTCTGGATTTTAAAAAAGAATTTGAGGGTAGGTTTAAGTCAAGTTGGTAAGATGTAACCTGCCTTTATTCTAACACAACTGCTGAGTACTTTGGAGTCGACCCTCCATCATTGCAAGACTATTTTCGTTAATTGTAAATTTACAGCTTGAGAAGAAAAGAAAAGCTACATATTGTACAAAGAACTTTTAAGAGATACTATATTCAACATGTCTGGTATGACAAAAGGTTAAATATGTTCTCTCCGTTTCTCCATTTTTCAAAAATATAAGATATAACAGTTGTAGCAACACTGGAGCAATCAAAGGGCCTGAAATAACATTAGCCAAAAGAGAATGTTTATGTGAAGCAAAGCTCCAAGTTCAACAAACACAACAACAATTGCATCTGAAAGTGTTTCTTTGTAAACAATAACTACTTATTTGTTATTTTTGCAATAACGCCATTAAAACTTTTGACTGCTGCTGTTGCTGCTGCATCATCATCTGAGAGTTGAGTAACTGCTGTTGGCTTTGTTGCTGTTGCTGCTGCATGACTTTCAGTATGTCTGCTTGTTGCATTTGCATTTGCTGTTCCCTCAAGACCTCCATTTTCTCTTTTCGTGTGTTTGATGCTCCCTCCTCATCTTTATGTCTTCCGCTTTCAGTCGGTCACTTACTTTAGCTCTATCAGCTAAGTATTCGATAACATCATCTCCACTTCTTCGTTGACGCTTCGGTTTATCATCGCTTTCATCTGCTGATGAGTCTCGGCCTGGTCGTATTGAACTTTTATACTACTTGTTCCCTGTGTTTCCTGTAATTCCGCTTTGCCTTTTTTCTCCAACGCGATGATCGTATCAGTCTTCTAATTCCGTTGGCTCATTGGGAGTTATACCGGTTGCTTTTCCCTCGGCTTGAAGTTTCTTCTGATGCTTGTAAACAAGAATTCCCACGTGGTCTCTAACTGATCGCTAATCAACTCTGAATTTCGGCACAGAGCATTTGTTCAAGGTGTCTGCTATTTTTCCCCGCATGCTGCTTCTTTGTGTGGACCCTTTCTTAGTTGTGAAGGGATTTACATTGACGACTTCTATGCATAGAATGGCTTCATGGTCATATGTCCAAAACATTACTGAACTAAAGGAAGGTATAAAACACACAAAGTTTAATAAAATTAAATTAAATAATTCCAGCTTAAATGTGCTAGTTTAGCGGCAGATGAACGCAATAAATCAAGAAATGCAACGGTACAAGAGACGAGGAAAGTATGCAGAAGACTCCTGCATTCACTATTTTCAGGTGTAGCTCGTGACTTACTTGGAAGCCTTGCTCGAAAGTGCTGCCATTTTATAAGCTTCGTACACCTGAAAGAAATTTATAAAAAATCAAAATCCTTTCATCTCTGCGATCTCGCCAGAAATTACGTGCAATGATCCTAGATTGCTAGAGGAATATATCATCATTTAATTTTAACACTAGAAGGAATACACTCACGTTTTGTACAGAACGTCAAAATTGCCAAACCCACGTTCTCGACGCGACGTGACGTGATGCCATCAGGATGACGGCGTGAGCATGTGCAATATGTCACCTCTTTGAAAATTTACTTCCGGCCGCGTCTTATAGCCGTCGCGTCTCGGATCTTAAAGTCCCTTTTACCAAATCAGGCAAAACACCACGAAGCCAGACTAAAAGATCAGCAATGACAAGGCGAGGAGTAGAGCTGAAAGAAAAGAGACTTGCATGGTAAACAAGGATGACAAAAGGTCACGTACCCATAAGGCTAACACTCTGACTCTCGGGCAACCACTGAAAACCGAGAGACATGCCTTGTAAATTTGCCTCTAGCCGGGACCTTCCAAGAAAAGGTCTTCTATACAAGGAAGCTCAAACACTCCCTTAACAAAAGACTTGAACTGAGAAGAGCTGTCATGCAAAAAGGGCCAAAAATAGGCCGAAGACCACTGTGGGACGATCAAAGTGCCGTAACCAGGGCAGACCCAATTGTTCTCGTCTCGCCAATCCTAGGTCAGGGCGTCAACGCCTAATAAACTTTGTCCTGTTTACTAGGCACCGTGATTGGTTGTTGATAAGTGCTGATTTAAAAGGTCATTCAAGGTTGCATTGATTATGTAAACCGATCAATGTCCCAAAATCACTACAAGCGGTGCTTCTAGCTCTTGACATAATGTTCACACTCATCATCTGACACGTGTCACGCACGAATGACAAAGTCTCCCACACACTCCCCCATGCAGCATTGCGTGCAAGGGTGCATTCACCTAAGAGACTTAACGATTTCAAGCTAAATGAAAAAGTTCTCCATAAATCAAACGTTTAAATCAAGTTCACAATTTTGAAGTTCAGCAAAAAAGGAGCTGTAATTCATTGTTCATCCTCAGCAAGGTCCTGGATTCGGGCTCTGGCAGCAACTGCAGCATCCCGTCTTGGTCTGAACACTAGTGCGTTTGGGTTCAGATCTGCTGTGGGAGTGTCTGTATGTGTCTCACAAGCCTGGTCACAGTTTAGCTCAAAGGGGTACAGGTGCTGAACAGGCCTTTCTAACATGCCATTTGCTGTCTCGAGTTGAACTGCACGGATGATTCCGTCCTTCCCGGGATAGGTTTTGTCTACTACCGCCAGTGGCCAACTCCCACGATTCTTGTTTTCGGTCTTTATAATTACAACATCTCCAACGTTTGGCTGAAATTTGGCCGCTCTGTGTGTCAGGTTGTGCCGCTCCCATAAAGCTGTTAAATATTCTCTCTGCCACCGTCTCCAGGACTGTTCTTGCAGTTCCTGAGGTATTTAGGGCGTTTGCATAGGTCCAGTTCCTCGATCCTCCATGTTTTCTCTTCTGGCAACTGACTGGTTCGCTGGAACAGGAATGTTGATGGTTTAAGTGTTGGTAGCTCGACATCATCTTCTACGTAACTTAATAGGCGTCGATTAAATTGTGTTTCCACGTCGAGCAGTACCTCACTCAGCTCAGTCTAGGTAAGTATACCTCCCCCAATGACTTTGTACATTGCGGACTTAACGACTCCAATCAACTGCTCGAATTGTCCTCCACACCAAGGAGCCCGGCTCAAGTTAAATTTCCAGGTGATGTCGCAATCTTCAAGGAGACCTTGAAGGCGCTCATCTCCTCGCAATTGGCGAAGCCATTTCACAGCCTTGATAAAGGTGCCTCCATTGTCCGAGCAGATAACATGTGGTCTGCCGCGCCGGGCGATGAAGCGCTTAAGAGAGGTAATGAAATTGCTTGTCTTTAGATTAGACAGTAATTCCAGGTGTACGGCTCTGGACAGGCTACACGTGAAGATGGCTAAGTAAGCTTTCTCCTCGCTCCTCTTGCGTTGTTTGTACTTGAATAGGACCAGCAAAGTCGGTGCCAATTACTTCGAAGGCTGCTCCACCATTTGTACGGTCTGTAGGCAGTGGTCCACGGGGTGCCACTGTTAAGGGTGAAGCTATGAAACGTTTACAGCCCTACCACGCAGATGGCACAGACTTCACTAGCTGTCTCAGGGTCGGACCGGGATCCAGTACTGTTCATGAATCGCTGCCATGGTAAGGGACACACCTCCATGTAAGGTTTCGACATGAATCCTCTGTACAAGCTTCCTTGTAAACATGGCGTCTGCTGGCAGGTACACTAGGTATTTTCCTTGAATTCTTCCATGACATTCGAGAATTCTATCTGCGTTCTACCTGGTCTGTTCAAAGCGCGGTTTCCGCGAATCTTGAGACTGGACTCTATCTATACACCAGTTCTTGGTCTCGTGAATGTCTTCGCTAGTAAGAGGTCCCTTACGCACTCTGTGAGTAGTGAAACGTCGCACCCAAGTATGGATGCGAAGAGCTCGGCGTAAATCATGGCGTTCGAGGAGTTCGTCGAACACGCTCCGTTCTTGTTCAGGTTTTGCTAGGCTTAGCACTTCTCTGGTGACTTTTGCCTCTTCTTCTGAAGTTTCTGATTTCATGGTAACCGGGTTCTTTGGCCACAGTTCAGGATTACGCAGTCACGCTGAGCCATTCTACCAAAGCTCTGCGTTGGTAACTTGGCTTCCTTGACTCGCCAGGTCCGCAGGGTTATCAGTAGTGGGCACGTGTCTCCACTGGATCTGTGGGTACTGTCTCACTTTTTGCGCGCGGTTAGAGACGAACTGTCGGTACTGGCCATTTCCCACAATCCAGTGGAGGGCGACGGTGCTGTCCAGCCAACTGTAGATCATGGGCACAGGTAGTTCTTTTATTGCGTTTCTTATGTTGATGACTAAATTGATAGCCATGTGGGCGCTGATTAACTCCAACCTGGGTACGGTTAGTTCCCTCTTGGCTAATCTTGCTTTTGCCGCAACCAGGGTTTGATTGATTCCATCTTCTTGGTTTACGACTGAATACACTGCTGCTCTGACCCCATAAGTTGACACGTCCCCGAACACATGCAGCTCAGTGGAGATGACTGGTTGTTGATAAGGTGCTAAGGGTCTGTGTGTGGTCACTTCCGCCGGAAGTGACTGCTCCCACCTTTGCCAGCGTATTTTCAGACTCTCTGGGATAACTGCATCACATGATACTTTGCAGTAGCACGCTTCTCTGTAGATTTGCTTCCCTCGCAGTGTAATGGGGGACGCCAGGCCGAGGGGTCGTACACTTTTGCAAGTTTGGCCAGTATTTCACGTTTTGTCGGTGCACTACTTGCGCTTGGGAACTGCAAAGCGATAGTATCTTCGAATTTGTCCCATTTTACGCTCAATAGTTTTGACTCACGTGGCTTGACTAGTAACTGTTGTTTCGCTGTTTTTACGTAAAGTAAGGCTGATGCAATAAGCAATTTAACCGATTATGATGACTATACCATTAACGAAGCTATCTTTCAAAGAATTAATCTGTTTGGGGGGCCCCACACCGTTGACCGACTTGCTTCTTCCTATAACGCTAAGGTACCAAGATTTAACACTGAGAGTTTTTCAGAATGGCTGTGTAGTAGTAAATGCCTTCTCCCAAGATTGGGGGCACGATAATGATTGGATTTGTCCTCCAGTGTGCCTATTAATTAGACTGGTAAAGCACATGGAATTGTGTAAGGCGAGAGGAACGGTTATCCTTCCCTTGTGGAAGTCCTCTTGCTTCTGGACTTCTTTTGGTAGAGACTATGTGCAATGGAACAGTTTCGAAATTGACTGGGTGTTTTCACCCAAGTTCCCAGGTCTCTTTATCAGAGGGAAAACCCGAAACTCGCTTTTCGTTTCCAGACCCCTGGACTTTGATGCTATAGCCCTTCGAATTGATTTTCGCCGCCTCAGATCTCCCTGCGCTTACGTAGGCTTCTGTACGAAGTTCAGTAAAGACTGTGATCGTTGTAATTAGCCCGGCGGGCTTTTGTATTCACCGCGGAAGTTTTCTCTTCTGGGTGCAAATGTGATTTTGTTTCAGTCAATCCCAGCGTAATTGCTCTAAGTCCTTTGTACTTAGCTTATGGGTTGTTTGGCACTTACTCAGGCTTGAAGTGACTTAAATCATAGAATTGCTCGTCAATATTGCGTTATGACACGAGTTTGAGTCAAGAATTTATTCAGCATTGTTTGAAATTAAAGGAACCCATTTGTGGTCCACTTTGCAGATTTCAGTTGTCTATGCATTCTCTGTTGGAGTTTGATTATTCCCAGTTATCCTATTTTCATTCATCTATTTATTTAGTTATTTCTTGTTGGATTGTACTCCTCACTTTGCCTTATTTTAACTTTCGTTTGGATATTTTTCATTCGAGTTTGGAGTTTTTTTTTTCATGGAGTTTGATTATTCCCGGTTATCCTATTTTCATTTATCTATTTATTTATTTATTTATTGTTGGATTGTACTCCTCACTTTGCCTTATTTTAACTCTCGTTTGGATATTTTTCATTCGGAATTTTGGGCATTCCGGGACGGACCGCTTGACGACTTGCTTGAGGGACTGAATGATCGACTGAAGACGACTGTACTCTCTTCCAAAGCAAATGGGACTTTTATAGTATACAACCGAGCTTTCTGCGGATGGAATCAGTTCGCAAACGATAAGTTAAACGGGAAAGCCTTTCTCGCTAGCTCTTTTCATGTGGTTTTGTATTTACAACATCTTCTAGAGGAAACCCACTAATCTAGCGTCTTCTAGTGGAAACCCACTCCCCTAGCGCGGTCGATTCTGCTTTCTATGGCTTAAAACGGGCCTCTGACTTGGCAGGAATCCCCTCCCTAACTGATGACCCAATTGCTGAAGCCGTGAGTACGGCGCCCAAAAGAGTTCATGGTACCAGTGTCCTTAGTCGTAAAGAACCTATTTCGGCCCCTTTGAATCCACGACATTAAGAAATCAGACTTAGATATCCCTGTAAAGTTGCGTAATTTTTCTATGTATGTTTTATCTTTTGCCAGTTTCTTTAGGTTTGACGATGTGTCTAGAATTAGAAGAAGTGATATTTCCTTTAAAGAAGGATTCATGATTATTAAGGTTTTGAAAAGCAAGAATGACCAGCTCCGTAAAGGCGTCGAAGTCGTTATCTTACAATCGTCTAGTTCTGTATGCCCCGTTGAGTTGCTTAAGAGGTATTTAGTAATGTTTAAGATACCCCCTGATTCCAAAGATTTTATTTCAAGCCCATTTCTAAAGGGAAGGGCTCTTGCAAGCTTGTTGCCCCTGATAAGCCCATTAGTTACTCTACTATTAGAGGGGCTTTTCGCTGGGACCTGCAAAGTCTCTGGGTTGAACCGTCCAAGTTGGGTTGGCATTCTCTAAGATCCACTATGATAGCAAATAATGGAGTAAACGACATAGTTTTCCAACGACATGGTTGTTGGAAATCTGTACAGGCCAAAGACACATACGTAGACGATAATTTTGAACAACGACTGGAAGTATTGCGTTTTCTTGGGCTCTGAAGGTGTTTTCGTGTTCTTTTTGGTGGTATAATATCACCTGGCCTCGTGCGTCTTGCCCAATTCTTTGTCAGTCTTTATATGCCTCGGATTGGTTCTCGGAAGGCTTCCCTAAATAAACGTATTTGGTGTACAATACTGTGTTATTTGTTGTGTAGTGGAGACAAAATATGGTATTTCTGACGTACGAGTCTGCGAATAAGGCAGAAATAGATATTTTGTCGGCACAAGATACGACAAGGCCTGGGCCTTAGGCCCGAGCATCATGGGTAATGATGCAGTGGTATATAAGTGGAAGTATAAGTATATAAGTGGAAGTGCAGTGGAAGTATAGCACGTGGTGTCCATCTAGGCCTCAGAACCAACCGTTCACCTCTGGCTGATGACAAATTTATTTTAGTTTGAAAACATATTTTCTTTAACTTTCTCAAACTCATTAATAATTCATACTGAGAAAACAAAGGAAATTACAACCCTGAAGGAGGTTTGGATATGTGATCTTAATTATCATAAAATCTGGTGAACTTTTGCTTTGATTTTCTCCAAGAATTATTAATGGTTTGAGAAGCTATATCAAACATTCGAAAGGGTGTTTCATCCGATATCCAAACACCTTGAAGTTGGTTAAAAAAAACTCGGCTGCGCCTCGTTTTCTCAACCACTTCTCGGTGTTTGGATATCGGATGAAACACTCTTCCTCGTGTTTGATATATTACGTGAAGCCTCGTAGGATGGGCTGCCAACTGCTCCGAGTTTGGGCCATGGTTCCTACCCGGATTTCCTGTCATTTTTTTCCCCAAAGGGGTTTTTCTGGCCTCTGTATAACCGTAGTTATGTCCTTGTAAGCGGTTGCCCATCTCTTTTAATCCAGACTTGGTGAAGTTTGCATGTTAGTAATATATACCTATTTTTTAATGTGTAAGGAATTGACTGTATATCAGGATTGCGAATATATGTATGTATACATGCCTCGGCCTATTTATGCCTCGGGTTGATTCTCGGCAGGCTTCCCTTAATAAACTTATTTGGTGTACACTACTGTGTTATTGTCGTTTAGTGGAGACAAAATCTGAAAACTGAATTTAGTGCTATGTCAAATGTGATTGGCAGTGTAGGTTAGTCCTGAAAAGGGCTGTTGCTGAGTACATTGAATGGCATTTTGGCAACTAAAGAAACCAAACACTTCAGCTTGAAGATGCCTGTGTTTTTAAAATGTTAGTCATTTTCAACAACAGTGGTCCTTTCCAAGTTCATTCTAATCTACTTGATTGCACTAAACATACCACTGAGACTGTTGGGTTCAATCTATTTAGTAAGTTTAGTTCAATATGAATTTGAGGAATTGTATGTTGTTACATTCAAGAGACAGTAACAATTAAGGCAAACAATGTTATATTTTGAAATTACAACTGTAATACTGTTCATGGTGCATTTACTTGTTTTTCGTTGAGCTTCGTTTGACTTCATGTTAAAATCTACTTTATTAGCCATTTGCATTATTTTTGCTGATTATAGCATTGGTTACTTATTCAGGGATGATGGTTTTTGGAGGGCAGGTTTTTTTTTGTGGGGAGGGGCGAGGTACTTATGCCCCCCTCGCTCTTCTATTTTTTACCAGTTTAAATCAAGGCCCTGCTGTTGTTTAGAAAATAGAGAGAGGAATGGTAGATTACACTTTTTTGTGAAAATGAACGTTAAGTTTCCAATCACATTTGATTTTAATTACATGGACCATGTTTTGTACTGGAACTTTAGCCACTTTCCTTCTTTACCTTTGCAGTTATGAATAAAAATCAAGTCTTGCTGAAAAATAACTTGACCCTTATATGCAAACTAGATATAGCATGAAGAATAGTTGTGAACACATGCTGACCATTCAAGCATATCAGCATGTGCAAAATTTAGAATCTTTGAACAAAGTGTATGGCTTCCCATTGTTCCTCACAAAACAAGTATTTAATGATATCTAATTACCATATAGTAAGGTAATAGGTGAAATTTCTCTGATCAAGCAAAGTATTCCTGTAGTGATGGAGGGTCTAACCGAAAGAAGCAAGATGTCTGATTGCCATAGAGGCATGTAAGGGCATTTCGAAGGAGGGCAGCGACAACATACATTTTGCCTACACTGCTAAGGCCAATTTTTAAGTTTTTTTTTTTTTTTAGTCCAAGAACTTGAAGTAGTTAGTGATGTCATTGAATAGCCACTCTACTGATTCTCTAACAGTGCTCATTGACTGGTTAAATTCCATCATGGGAGAAGTCAAGACTCCATTCCTGAAGGGAGCTATGAGGTGCACCCTTAAAGGGTAAGCAGGATCACCATAAATACAATAAGGATTCCCCAAAGGTGAGTTTGCAAACGTCTGAAGGTCATTGAGAAGTCTTGAATCTGCAAGCATACCTGCATCATGCCTCCTTCCTTCTAAAAAAGAACAAATACAATCTTTTCATATAAAAATGCTACAGGTTTGCTTTTCTATTATGAACATCCTTGAAATTAGAGAAAACTCAAATCAAGTGAAGTTCTGACCTACTGGACCATATAGATGTCCTACGAGACCATTGGGGAGAGCCACACACTAAAACTTTAGAGCATGGACTCTCTTGTGACCATTATATACCGCCTGCTGATGTTCCCCTGGCCTGCATATTGGACGAACTGTTCGGTCAACAAATCCAAAACAGTTATTCAAGGCAGCTCCGTGGGCAGCAATAGCGTCGCTACATAGTTGAAGAGCTTGCGGCGAAAGAATTTCGCGATTCCACTGCGTGATTCTGTGGCTGTGTACATCATATACATAATCAAGTACTTGATTGCTGACCATGCTAAGTACAGGTGCTGGCCTCCCAAATCGAGGAAGCATATCGTTATATCTGCACAGATAAGCCAACCTTCGCAGTAGAATGGAAAGGGCTTCCATTTCACTCGCAACGGGTCTTTGGTAGCACGTAAAGCTATCTTGAATTTGGAGGACCTCTGGGAGTAGTGGAAGGTCACGTTTTCTGAATCTAAATTTTGCCACACACTCTGAATCGTTCATGTCTCCGAGTGAAAACCTGCCACAATTCTCTTTTTTGGACTGTATTCGTCATATAACAGCAACAGTTCCTCATCATTTAAATATCCATGGAAGTGGCTACGGAGAAAAAGCTCCTGAAGTTCGTGGAAAGAAACCATAATGGTAAGACTGGAGCTTTGAAACCATTTTTTAAATTTATTTAAGTTCACGTTCACGTTCACGTTCACATCGAGAGCAGCTTAAGTTCACATTTTCCCGCCCGTTTTTTACCAGTGAACAGCGGTCTCGACCTAGACTTCGCACAGACATATTCTTCCTCGTTGTCCTTTTCGTCTACCGTGCTAAAGGTCCCTAATAGAGAGTTTAAGATACCTGGACGGCTGACCTCGAGGACGTTAACATTGAGCACGAGGGACTGGGTCGATGACGACTACCTTGGCGGGAAACTTTTCACGTTAAGGAGCAGATTTCAAGCTGAGGACAACAACGTTTTGTTCATCATGGCATCTTTAAGAAAGACTCGTGAAATGATTGTTATTGCTTACGCGGAAGGGCTATTGACGGATGAAGAATTTTTGTTTCTTTATGAGACAAATCAACCAGTTAATTTAGAGTTGCCTTACTACGAGTATGAGGAATTTAACTTTGACGAAAACATCAGTGAAGCCGAATGTAAAGCGGAATTTAGGTTTGAAAGAGGAGATATCGAACGTCTCGCTGATGTTCTTCAATTACCGCCCACCTTAACGTGTCCACAAGGCAGTGTTTGCGACCGAATGGAGGGCCTTTGCATACTTCTTCGTCGCCTCGCATATCCATGTCGTTACAGTGACATGGTCAGCAGATTTGCAAAACCAGTTCCTGTTTTTTTGTATGGTATCGAACATAGTGCTCAACTATATCTTCGATCTGCATCATCACAGAATCACAACCTGGAATAATTCCATCTTGAATCCATTTGCTATTTCAACAATACTCTGATGCTGTGTCTGACAAGGGTGCTGCCCTTAACAACTGTTTTGGGTTTGTGGATGGAACTGTCCGCCCGATTTGCAGGCCGGGGGAACACCAACGGCTTGTTTATAACGGGCACAAGAGGGTACATGCCCTTAAATTTCAGGCTGTTGCTCTTCCTAATGGGCTTATTGGACATTTGTTCGGTCCTGTAGGTAAGTCTAGTTATTCCTACAGTCTCTTTTGTTTTTGGTTTTAAGTCACCAGTTTTGGCTTAGAAAAATTTATCAGTTGAACAATTGGTTTTCAGAGGGAAAGAAGCATGATGCTGCCCCGCTTTGGAGCACAATGCTGTATTCCCAACTGGCCAACAGATGTGCATATACGGAGACCTCGCCTATCCTTTAAGGGTAAGTCTCATGGCACCGTTCAGAGGGGCCGCCCTGACAGCGCAAATGGAAGCCTTCAATGATTCTATGTACGTCAGTCGAGTGGTTGTTTGGAGACATTGTGGAGTATTTTAAGTTTATGGACTTTAAAAAAAACCTTAAAATAGGTCTAAGCTCGATCGGAAAATTGTATGTCGTGTGTGCCCTGTTAAGAAATGCGTTTACTGGCCTTTACGGAAATTCAACTTCAAGTTTTTTCGAGCTGGATCCTCCCACACTGGAGGGATACTTCTCTTGAACAATTTTAAGTCATCTTTCCGCAAACTGCTGACCAAAAATTGAGCTCTGAAATCAGTTAAAGGTAGTTAAACAACGTTTCGATAATTCATCGATTTTTTGCGAAGATAAAGGAATCAAATACTTTATTAACAGTCAAATATTATTCAAGCACAATCTTAATGGAATAAACAAAGCTGCCGAGATAACAAGATAAAGGCTGTAATTACACTCACTGTTAAAGTAGAAAGGCTCAGTAGTCCGACCTCAGTGTTTACCAATTTTATTAGATAAACACAAATTAACATAGCTGTACCGAGCTACTTTGAAAGACAATTACAGCCATTGTAAAGTCACTTGTTCACCAGTTTCGACAGTAGCTCCATCATGTTTTGTTGTTGCTGCTGCATCAATTGCTTCATCTCCCTTTGCTGCTCAAACGATCTCGCTGTCTCCTTTTCTTTAAGCTCTAACTCTCTCTTCCTGATTTCAAGCTCTAGCTGAGATTTTTCACTGAGAAAGTCAATGGAATCATTGCCTCCTCTTCTCTTTTTCTTCTTAGGTTCCATGGGAGCTTCATCTCCGGCAATTCTTGATTTGGTCTGACCATAGCTCTCAATCGCTTTTTTTCGAATTTCTTGTGCTTTGTGCTTGTTTTCTTCTTCTTTGGCTTGCTTGGATTCTTTCTCTTCAACCGGGAAAGATTCTTCGAAAGAGCAAATCTCTTCTAGGGCTTGTTCGAGCTCCGAAGTGGGTTCCACGTCAATCCCCGACGAATTTTCCTCCTCTCGAATTTTACGCTTAAACTTTTCCTTGATCAATTTGAATCGCTCTCTTACAGATCGCTTGTTTACACGGAATTTGGTGGTCTCACAGGTATTAAGGTGATTCGAAATTTCTTCCCAAATTTTTCCTCTTTCGACCGTTCTTTCTTTGAATTTGTATGGCTGACAGACGAGTATTTCCCGGCAGAGAAGGAGATCGTGCTCTTCCTTCCATTCCATGCTCGCTAATCCTGTAAATAAAGAGAAGGCAGATAAAACAATTTCTCTGATTTCTCGCTCCTAACTGACCAAGGGAAAAGCATTTGGACCGTGTAGATTAAAGTTTAATACAAGATAAGACATCTTTCATTCAGAGGATAAGCGGGTTCAAGTGCTAGGGACTTTTTTTTAGTAAAGCAAGAAAATTTAACGCACGTGTTCAGTCGAAATGCTCCACCGTGGCTGTGCACAGTGCACATCACTTTTACAATTTTAACCAGCTTGTCAGTGGTTTTATTGCCCAAAAAAAAAAAGTGACAAACAATGTTCACCTAATGAAGTTCGAAAATCTAAAAACATGCGGAAATTTATGGGGAAATATTAGTAACAGTACTCACGTTGACTGGTGGACGGCAAAACACCACTTCTCACGTCCTCGACACAAACAGGACTGCAATCTGCGTGGACCAGGCATGCGCATTGTGGTCTACACGCGAAATTTACTTCCGGTCAGCCGCCCTCGAGGTCAGCCGTCCAGGTATCTTAAACTCTCCATTAAACTCTAATGTCCCTTCGTGGTCGCCAAAAAATGTTGCGAAGATATAAACGAACTCCAGGATGACAACACAACGATTTTTATAAAATAATAACAGAAAGATATTATGGTGAGACACGATCAAAGCACTCAACGACGCCCGGCAAATCCTAAATCCCAACAACAAACACAGCGCGAACCGCATGGTTTTTATCCGTAAAATCACTGGACAGCTGTCACTCATTGTGTCACAAAAAAGGCATAACGCAAGGTAATGTCATGCAAAGTCACGCTCTTCTCAACAGAAATCTGATAAGATATCTTGATAAAAATGCTTAAGTTGTTTTGGTAGGATTCGTTCAAAAATGTTATTGAGGGCTGGAAAAGCAGTTACGGGTCTGTAGTTCTTTTTACAGAATTCATCATACTTTTTAAATAAAGGGATAACTTGCCCCATTTTCCAGCGTGAAGGATAATGACCTAGACTGATTGAACAGTAAATCATTTTTGCATAGGCTCCGATGTTACAGATGCAGACTCTTTCAGTAATCTTGGAGGTATCAATTAAGTCATGGCCACAAGATTTACGGGTATTTATTTCTAAAAAGAACTTCTCCACTTGCTTTGAGTTAGTATGTTCAAAATCAAAATTTAGTATTATTTTCGAAGAATAGTTAGTCAGTATAGACTGAGCGCTTGGATGAGTACTGAAATCAGTTCCAAAGTCCGCCTCATTTATCTCTGCAGCTATATCAGCCACATGAATAAAATAGCTGTTGAAAATATTTGCTATCTCATTTTTGTCTTTGATAAATGCCTCGTTTTCTTCCTATGAGATGTCGTTTGCTTGCCTTTATTTCTTTGACTGAAGAAAGGGACGATAAGTGTTCCAAATTCATTCAGATTTTCTGTTTCAGATTTATTAAGAAAATGTGCCTTGATCGCTTTCCGTTAAGGAAGTGCACTTATTACTTTGCTTTTGCTAGAGAGCATAATTTGCATCCGTGCGATCATGTGTGAACTTTTTCCACAGCTTATTTCTGTGTCGGATGGATTTGCGCCATTGCTCAATCATGAAAGGCACTTGATTTCCTCTTACGTGAAATTTCCTTGTAGGTGCTTGTTCATTTATTATATCCAGAAAAAGCGATTCAAATGCAAATAGTTTATCATCCACATCATCAAAGATATCCATAACATGGAATGGGGCGTTTTTTTAGGTCTTCTAAGAAGATGCCTCAATTAAAATTCTTTTAACTTCTGGCATAAATTTTTCGCGATTGTAGTCTTGGTGCTGACCGTCTTAAAATAATGAATACAAGGGAGTGATCACTGGTTTGGACATCGACGATGATGATTATATGTGTTTCTTGTTGTTTGTGAGAATGAGATCAAGCAATGTTTTACTTGTCTTTGTTATTCTAGTTGGCGATGTGATCAGGTTCTCCAAATTGTAAATGTCCAATAAATCACATAAGTCTCTACTATAATAATAATAATAATAATAATAATAATATTATTATTATTATTATTATTATTATTATTATTATTATTAATATTATTATTAATAATAATAATAATAGTAAAATCTTTATTACCGTGTCAATGTATTTAGCTCATAGAGCTAATTGGGGACACCTACTATTACAAAATTAATAAAAAAACTATGTACAGTATCATAATAAGTAACAATATAGCCGATAAACTATGCATTAAAATTTAAAAATATTTAGAAATATTAACAATGTTCAGATAACACAAAAATACTTGTACAATGCAGATAATTAGAAAAAATCACGTGCTGCAAAGATTGCAGCAGTTGCCACTGTCTTCCACTAGGCTGGCCAGGTCAACTCTACGGATTTTAGTTTTAAAGATATTAAGGCTTAGTAGTTCACGCATACCATTTTCTAATTTGGACCAGATATATGGTCCTTGATACCTAAGTGTGTGTTTACCATAGCGTATAGTATTAAATCGTGGTATTTCAAAGTCACTATTCCTAAGGTTATAACGAGTACCCTTTCGAGTAAATATCTCAGATATGTAGCTAGGTACTAGATCGTTCTTTACTTTATACATTAGTATTGCTATGTCCTGTAAGCGTCTATTATGAAGTGTAGGTAACTTAGCACGCTTAAGAAGTTCCTCATATGTCTCTGTTGTTGTTTTGAAGACCGCACGCAGGGCTCGCTCTTGGATGCGTTCGATTTTTCGCCCATCTGAAGATTTAAAAAAGTTCCAGACTAAATGACAGTATGTTAAATGTGGCATTATAGCTGTTTTATACAGTATGAGCTTAGCTTGGCATGGTATTAGGTTGCGCAAGCGCATGAGGACTCCTACTTTCTGGCTGGCTTTATTGCATATTTCGCTAATGTGTTGTGTAAAGTTAAGGTTCTTGTCTATATTTACTCCTCATAGCTTGATTTGTTCAGTTTTCATGATCTCGTCATTGGCGATGGTGAGAACGCTGCCCTTCTTATCTGCATCTATGTTTCTTGGGTTAATCGTAAGAGACTGAAACTTATCTGGATTTGCCAAGAGGAAGTTGTCCCTATACCATAACAGTGCTTGTTGACCCTGAGTCACTAGAGTAGATTCGACTTCTTCATAGGTTTTTCCTGTCACATATAATTGGTGGTCATCAGCATAGAGCGTAAGGTTTGAGTCAGGGATATGAAATGCCATATCATTTTGGAACATGTTCCAGAGGAGAGGGCCAAATGACGATCCCTGAGGACAACCACGTTCCATAATTCTCCATTCACTCGTGTGGCCATTTATTTTTACTCTGTTTAGCCTGCTATCAAAAAAATGATCTAATCAGTTCAAGTGAACTGCTATTAAAACCGTTGGCATCCAGCTTTTTTAGAGTGAGTGAATAGCTTAACGAGTCAAATGCTTTACTCATGTCAGCAGATAATATTGTTACCAGCTCTTTTCTGTCCACTGCAGACCTCCAGTCTTCAATCAACATCAGCAGGGTTGTCTCACAGCTGTGTTGTTTTCTATTAGCTGTCATCCTGTGGTACAGAGCAGGGTCATAATGTCTGGTCACTTGTTTGCTGAGTAAGTGTTCAAAAATCTTGTCCACACATATAAGTGAAGTGATTGGACGATAGTTCAATTTGTCTTGTCTGTCTCCCTTTTTAAATACAGGGGTCCATTCGCCTTTCTTCCATTCAGATGGCCACTCGCCTAAGTCAATACAGTTATTTTAAAGTCTAGTCAGGGATGGTGCAATTCCTTCAGCCACTCCCTTAAAGAGTTTTGGTGGTGCTGTCACATCCCACCCATACGACTTTCTTACATTGAGATTTTTAAGAGCACACTGCACTTCCTCTTTGTTAAATTCTTTGAAATCAAATTTATTCCCCTTGTAACCGCTTTCAATAGCCTTGACACTACTGTGGTTCCTATGATCATTCTCGGTTAGGCTGGTGATATGGTTGCCTCCTATATTCGCTGCCACCGTATTAAAATGGCCTGCTAGGAGTTCAGCCACCACAGTTTGGTCTTTCTCGACCTCGCCATCGTCAGATTTCAAACATATAGCATTGGTGCCTTTTGTCTTTGTACTGATGAATGGCCTGAATGTGTTAAAAAACTCGCTGGGCTTAGATTTCAGCTCTTCCGATTTTCTATACCAGTAGGCCTTTATTGCCTTTCTACGTTCCCGTGTTGCAATGTTCCTGTATTTTCGCCTTCGAGTTCAAAGTTTTCAAGAGAGCGATCCTTTGCAAATTGAACTGCAAATTTTCTCTTATCTCTAATGGCTTGCTTCCATTCTGGAGTCATATAGGGTATATCTTTCTCCCTGACTCGTTTCTTTTTAGTGGGTTCGTGTTGATCCACAACGCTCTCAAACAGTCCCTTCCAATAATATTGATCGTCCACATTACAAAAAATCTCTCCTACATGCCAGGGGACAGCCTCCAAGTCCCGGTTAAGCTGTTCGAAATCAGTACTTTTTGTCTGCCGGAAAGTGGTAGTGCGAGTCTTGTGTTTGTGGACTTTCTCCATCATTTCTCCAAACACCATATGGTGGTCACTCATTTCTGGCTGATAAACCCCAAATAAACTAATAAACCCCTGATAAACTGTCCATTGGAAGCTTTTTCGGTTCCATCATATCACAGTTGAAGTCACTGAGGAAAATAACATCACTTGAAATCATATTTACAGCGTCAAAGATTGAACTCAATTCGAATTTCCATTGACTTTTTGGGATGTTAGGAGGTTTGTATATGCCAGCAAGAGCAAACCATGATCTATTTATTTTGACTTTCACCATCATGGATTCGATGCAAAAACTAGACAGGTTCATATTGAAATGTGTGATTACATGAAAGCAAATGTTATTTCTTATAAAAATCATTAGTCCACCACTATGAATATCTCTATTGATGCAGTGCATACGAAAACCATCCACATTAAATTGGCCCTTGTCAGAGCCAGCATCTATCTTCGTCTCTGTTATGAGAAGTATGTCGAATCTTCCAGACAAATGAAATTTAAATCCAGCAATACTACTAGCGTGTATGTGCCCAATCTTGGTCCTAGCCCGCTTTTCTTTTGCTTATAAATCAAACGAACTTCAGGTGTCAAACAGTGAATCATTCTCTTGCAGATACACAACTTCAGATAACGGGAGCCCTTAAGAAAGGGCATCCACCTGGTTCTTTGAGCTTATTGTGTATTTTGTAATTTAAAATCTTTCTTGTTTTAAAGCTATTAAAAGTAAAACTTGTATTGTCTTGTATTGTAGGAGCGTAGAGGATTGGGGAACCATGAGTCTTTGAGCTAGCCCCTTTAGTCTACTTTATAGGGAAAGTATGGTCTAGGAAAAGTTTACTTATATCAAGTTCCTTACTTGTATTGTCCTAACTGACTATTCATTTGAGCTAAAGCGTTTTGGTTGCAAACAATTACGTTCCAAATATCAGCATTTTCAAACTGAAAACCGCCATCCGTCTTTGTTATGACGCAGCAATAGCCAAGCATGCTCAGATGGTGATGCTCATAATCCCTGCTGAGATGGATGTAAACAAGGAAAACAGGGGCGAGGAGAGCGCTACCAATTAAATTCTCGACTTGGATTTCAATCCAGCCGAGAGGGTGTAATACATCCATGGCAAATATGTTTCAAAAACCATGGCTCGTCTTCAGGGGAAGAAGATACCGCTGTTGGGGAGAAAAATAAAGAAACTGCATTCGGTAAGCAATAAGAAAGACGGTCTTCTATTTTAACATACCGGTATTTATTTCAGGGGCGGATCCAGGAATTTCTGAAAGGGGGGGTTGTACACTACTGAAGTAACCTTGAACACCAATGGTGTGGAAGGCGAGTGACGGCCCCTGCCTCTGGCGCGATCTCTTGAGTGGGTCGGGAGCCATACCCCTCCCCCCAAAACATAATGTTTACGATTTTTCCCTCTAAAATGCCATTAGCAGAATTCCTGAGACTTAAAAAGCGTTGTAAAGGCATGATATAAAATCTGGAATTTACTTTATTTCTCATTCAGAAACCCAAAAATAATAATGCATGATTGAAAGGGACGGCAGTATCAACAACAGTTATTTGAACCTCAACGTACCTCAATCAAACAACGTAGCCTGAAATAGTCTTCTAGGGTGAGCTTTTACAAAAGCCTCGCAGATCTCGTCTACTTCGAATCTCTCCGGGTAATGCATGGCGATCACGGCGAGATCTGAGAAGCGCTCTTCAGACATCGTTGATCTGGTGCAGGTCTTGATCCGTTTCATGAGTGAAAAGGACCGCTCAGCTTCCGCACTACTGATTGGTAGGGTGCATGCAATTAGAAGAAGACGATGGATGTTTGGAAAAGTATCCTCGTCACACGCACCAAGTGCTAAAAGAAGATTGTTTTGAAGTTCCTTCTCTGCTGACTGCCACATAGTTTGCCATCGTCGCAGCTCATTTCCAAGGGATTTGGGAAATGAAAGGTCATTCTCCCAGAACAACATGCCTTTTGCTGCTTCAGATAGCTCCTGGGAGTTATTAACTTTGATTGAGGGTACTAGATAAAGCAAGTGACGGGCGTGGCGATCCTCGCCAGAAAATCGGTCTTGCATTTGAATAATCAGGGAATCAAGAAGGGGAATAGCCACAGATTTTTTGTAATGGTCAATTGGAGTAGAACTGGGAATGTTTGAGCGATTCCTCTATATGCCAGTCTTTCTGGGTACAGCTTCAACGATTCCTAGTTTCCCAGAAAGGTCTAACATTTCTTTGTACCAGACTTGAAAGTCAACGGCAATGTTTTTTCTAGAAGACTTGATGTTTCCAATTACTTCGTCAACCATCGTGTAAGCTTCAAAAATATCTTGATCTTGTTTCTGCAGCTTTGATGCAAGAGCTTTAACTTCATCAAGAATATTCTTGGTTGTAATGAAAACCACTACAGTCTGGAATGTCAACAAAGAGGCTTTCAGTCCCTGGGCTTTTGTGATAGTATCTTTGTCCCAATTCCAGCTTCCAGTAGACGATTTCAAATGTGGGTACTCGTGGGGAAAATAACTGCATCTAGAAAGGTGACAAGGAGCTCATACATTTCCAGGAAAACATCTAGGCACGTGTGTCTTTCCACCCAGCGTGTCTTGCAAAGACCTGGAAGCTTGCTGTGAGAATTCTCAGGCAGGTATTCTTTCAGTGTCAACTCGAACAGCTGCTGCCGCTTTGGGCTGTTATTTAAAAATAGATATGCCTCGTTAATCAGGCCTATCAAATTTCGCACTTCTGGCAGTTTGCATGTTGCTGCGATGGAGAGGTTCAGGCAGTGAGCATAGCAATGCGTGTAAAGAGCTAACGGACTGGTCTCTTTTATCTTCGCCTGCACTCCTTCCTTTCCACTTGACATAACGGAG